TTTAAGAAATCTCGAAACGGAGGCCCCCAATCCAGGCCCCCCCCCCCCCCCACCCATTACAGACCTTAGCAATCAATAATAAAAGGTGTCAGATTTTCGAGTGTGTTTTTTGGAAAATTGATCAAGTTATAATTTTGAAAAATAATGAATATCATTATTTGTGAGTTGATTAATATATATGCTATTGCATAAGGTATGCTATAGATATCATGAATATGTAAAACAGACTTATTTGTCAATTAGTTCAATGATTATAATAATACGAATGTTAAATTAAGAAAAACGAATTTATAAAGATGAAAAATACTGAGCGAATAGCAACAATGCAAACAAACAAATAGGGCGATCATAGAGAAAAATAAGAAAAATTCTGTTTGAAATGCAGAAATTAGAGAGATCATTATTCCAGACATCGATCATCCTGCAAAGCAGCTATAGTCTACGAGAGATTTATCACTTTACGTATTTTGTATTACTATAATGAGACTAGAGTGTATATGTGAGTTCCACATTTCAGCCCCAAAGGGGCTGCGCTAACAAGCTTTCTTCTTTCACAACCTAGAGAGCTGTATTAAAACATAATATTTTATCAGTTTTATTCTCACTCATTGAATAGCCACAACCGAAGACACCTGATTGATACATAATCACTCAATTAGTTCAAGTGATCCGAAAGGTTCTTTTACAAACGTTCTGTTCAGCGGCTAGTTGTTCCCTTATTATAGTGTAATTCGTACACAGATCCTCATTTCCTAGAGATACTCTACACTATTTTTACTTCGCTTCTTTGAAAAGGCTGCTTCCCTGAAAACTAACAAAAATACTTCTGCTATACAAAATACACAGTCATCTAGCTGAGCGTCCAAGTTGCTCGTTGTTTTGTTCGTCTGGAGCACCGTCTCGGTCGTAAAACAGCGAGCGAGCGGCAGAAAGTTAATCTATGGATCTGAGGCGTGTGCAGCACTGTTTCGAAAAAGTTTCTATTCAGCGACCAGTCGTTCGTCGACGCCCCTACAGAATGCCACTCACGGCTAGCCGCCACCATTCTTTGCTGTACTGTATCAGAAAAGTAGAACTCAACATTTCAAAAAACTAATCAAGAATTCGAGCTTCCTGATGCCGATTACCTTTTGTTAAACTTTATAGAACGTTTCCATGAGAGAAGTCAAAACAACATTTTTTTTTGTTCTGTGCGAACGAGCGAACGTAATCAACTCATTTCGGCGTAAGATCCTCCTTTCAGTAGAGGGAATAAATGGAGCAGACTTGAGAATGTTTCAAAAAAAATGAAGAAGATTTATTTTGTCTTAATTTAGATATCCCAAAAAATCTATTACAAATTCTACACCCCTGGGCAACATCTTTCTTTTCTCTCCATCATTCTTTGCATATAGAACCTCTTTGGTCTCAAGTGAATGTTAGTTATAAGGACGGCTTAAGTTCTTTATTGTAGTTTAGTGTATGGCTAATGCTATTTTTCTTTAATGAAGGATATACGTCTTTCAATACATAAAGCAACTCTAGAAATGAGTTGGTTGACAGAACACTTCACAAATAAGTTATCTCTTTCTTTTTGTGTCTGCTGACTTTTTTACTGATTTTAATCATTAAACTCACTTCGTCATTGACTCGAAGCTCTTCCGAAAATGTGATATAGTCAATTCTACGAATACAGATAAATTAAAACTCGTAAAACATTCAAAAAGTTTCAAAAAAAGAGATAATTCAAGCATGAAGTATTCTATCAACCAATTCATTTGTAGTGTTGACCGCCGATAGTATTGAATGAGGTACATTCTTCATTAAAGCAAACTGTCATCAATCATATACTACACTAAAATACAATATTTGAATTATTCCTGTAACCGACATTAACTTGAGATCAAAAAAGGGGTTCAATATGAGAAGACTTTTGTTCAGGACTGTAGTAAGTTTTGAAATAATGATTATTTAAATATATATCTTTGATGAGCCTATTTTAATACGACTAAATCAAAAATAAAATGAAAATACGTTCCTCTTCTTGTATATCTAAATGACAAATTTAAAAGTATCAAACATGCGTTCTATCCGACAATTAATATAGTAAATGCATTTATATACATAATACATGTAAACAATACTAACATAATACAAAGAAAGAAATAATTTCTTTTTAAGTTAATCTAAGAACAGATTGCATCAATGGATTAAATTCATTTTGATATCCCTTTTTACATATGATTTCATCCATTTCATCCATTAATGTTTGATAACGTAAAATTTGTGTAACAAGAAGTTGTATTGATCTTATTGCTTCATATTCATTAAATAAATAATTTAAATAACGCCAAAGTAATAAGATATAAAAATTTTGATTTTCATATAATTGTCGTTTATTATTATAATCTGTAAATTGACTACTATTATTACCACACGGTATTGATAAATTAATACTAAATATAAAAACAACCAAGACTATTTTCAATATAAGTGGATATTTCATGAAATAATTCATTTTATTTCGTGCTCGATGCATTTGCTCATGATATTCTTGACTTGTCCATCGAGGCATATGTTCAGCCATATGGGTAAGTTCTTGAAAATTTTCTACTATTATATGATGTAAATGTATCATATTAGTTATATTACATTTAATTAATAAAATTCGATCAGTTAAATTATATTTCTTAAATTCCGGTATTTGTTTATAAAAATTAATTAATGATTCATACATATTAACTTCTTCATTTAAGAATTGTGTTAAGGTTGTTGATGACGTACATCGATTAATATGAGAATAATCAGCTTGATTAGCTCCAAGTTTATAAGCATTTATAATATTATTTAATACAATTCTATCATCATCACATAAATTACGATGAATAGCAAAAGTATTCATTGGGTAAACCTAGATAAGAGAAAAAAGAAAACGAAAAAAAAAAAAAAAAAAATTTAATAATCGATTTTTCATAGAAATATTTTTATTTACTGGTTCTATTTTTGCAACAGTAAGTTCTGGTATTACTTGTCTTGTAATTAATGATTTAAGACGTTTTTTCTTTCGTGCAACTAATGGAATATTTGCAATCGATTCTTGTTCATCTAATGATAATTCATTTAATTGTCCTCGTTGTTTATGTAAATTTTTTAATTGTCGTAATCGACGTTCTTCTTCAGTACGTATCCAATCTTTGCGCATTTTTATATCAAAACATTTTTTTAATCGACAATAACTACATTGTCGACGGTTACGCATATTTATAACACAATTACCATCGAAACGGCATTTAAATTGAGGCTAAAAAGATATAGAATTAAGTTCAAATCAAATTAGAGTTATATCAGGTAATTGAAGGTTTTTTTGAACGAGTTATTACGAAAAAGTAGTTTTTATGTAAAACAAAAATAAAAAGAGTAGCTGATAAAAACTTGCAATAATTCGTCTAACGAGAAAAAAAAGAAAGTTTCGAAGCATTTTGAATAATGTTACAGATTTTTCAATACTCGACAATTATTGATGAATTATGAACTACGGAAACAAAGAAAAAGATTCTATTATGTTGATGAACGAATTGAATTTAATATCAAATGACTTTATTTATATTTACAATTAGTATTTCAAATGGATTCGATATTTATCAGCACGTTTACTAGTCTATTATAGGATATACAGAGTTGAAAGAAACCTTGTGACAGTCCATGTTTTTAATTAAAACCAGACTTTTATATTAAAATGTCAAAATAGGCACGAATGATATTGAATTATTGATTAACATAATTTATTCATTACTAAACAAAAGTACGTCATTACCTTATTTTTTAAAGCGTTTCGACGAAAAAATGCTTTACATGATTCACATGTAATTTGATCAAAATTATAACCATGTGCTGGTGCGCCACAAACACGACAGATAAGAACTAGTGGAATATGTTCTATTGATGAACTGTTTGTTATTGATGTATCTAATGAACATTCATCTATCTATTTAAAAAAAAAAAACATGATTTATATTATAAAAAAACTAAATCAGTACTTTTAACTTTTAACCTCATTTAATGATGATAGTTTTTCGTTATCTTTTTCATTTATTTTATCATAGATATTAAAACGATTAATATCTATATTTAATAGTTTATTAACAAAATCTATTGGAAACTTATCCAAACAAGTCGATGAATTGTTATATATTTGATTTAAGTGTTCATTACTTGCCATTGTCGTTGTTCTTGTTGTCATGACCTATAAAATGAACAAATAATATTCTATTAAACTATCAATTTCAACATAATTTTATTTACATTCTGTATCATATTTTTCATCAGGTTTATATTCTAGGTTTTTTTTTTTATTATGTCTATACAACTCGATCAAGAGCATGTTAAACCTGTCATCAACATATTCAATACATTTCCTGTGAACACAATGAAATACTTTATTTTTCTTTTATTCTTCACTATCTATTTATCTACAAAGAAATTTTTACTAGCTTTTGATAGATCAAAAGAAAGGAAGTAAATCTATATAGATATCATGCAGAGCGTGCATGACTTGTTTTTCCTGTCTTTTTCTCATTAAAAGATTGGCTGTTATTTTTACTTTTATGAAACGACGACATCTGGGCAAAATATTTTTTCTATAAAAATAAAAACAAATATACTATTCTTCTTAATTTATACTTATACAGACTAATTATACCTTATTCCCATTTGTATTATAAAATAAGCACTTTGTCTTAGTTATTATCATCAATCGACAAACGACATCCAAGTAATTGTTATCATCGCGGAGCTTTTTTTTTTCTTTCTGTTCTATGAAAAAGTAACTTAGGGTAGAGTCATATATAAAAAAAAACCTGTAATTGTGTTTTTCTTCGAGTCTGTTGTCTCTGTTTGATGAATGCACATGATAGGAGAAAGGTTTACATCGTCCTTTGAAAATGTAATCATGCAGCGTAGAGCCGTCATGACTCAAGAAAAAAAGTGAACTATGAGAACACCTATAAAACCTTGTGAATGACGACACTTAAACACCACTCATCAAAGAACATGTATATAAAACCATCGAAGGAATTGTCACGCTCGAATTTTTCTTTTCAATATAGATAAATAATATATAAAACTTTTCTTTTTTGGAAGAAGAAAAAAGAAAAGAAAGTACCGAAAATTAATTATTATAATATAAAGCTGCTAGTGAACGTTTATATTTATTTATCGTTTGAAATGAAATTTTATATGCATATTTAATACCTATTTTATTTACAGTGTAATATTCTAAGAATTTTATAAATATGATTATCTGTTTAAAATTTTCTTATGAGTTCACTCTTATGATTCTTTTGTTCGAATCGAATTAATGTAAACAAGATGAAAGAAAATAGGAATTCATTTAGAATGATTTTACTTTAAAAAAAAAATTCTTCCATATTAATTTATAATAATTGTTTTTCTATCTTTGGTTTTGACTGCTATTTAGAGTTATATTATGTTTCAATTGGTTGAAACTAATTATTTATTTTTTCCTTTTATTTAAAAGAAGAAAAAAAAGAGAGTCATATTGCAAGAGAAAAATTTAATAAGATTGTTTTCCTATTGTCAATGATAATAGAAGAAATATTGTATTGCTACTTCTATTCTAAAAATATCAAAGCATATTAAAAAATATGCATCGTCTACTTTGTCTGATTAGAATAGAACATATCATCATATTCATAGAAAAAAATTCTCAAAGAATAAGACACAGACACATTTAAAATAGATTTTAACAGATATGGTGAATACATTTATGCCCAAATTTGCTTTTGATTAAAAATCGCTTATTTTACTTAATGTAAATGCCAAGAACGAAGTACACGAAGCTTGTATGCTCTTCATATTTTTGCTGTATCATATGGTTCTGTGTATTACGATCGTATTTCTTCGTATTTTATATAGAGTAATATGACCGTTTATGACAAAATGTCGAGTACAGTGGAGATCAAATAGGATCTTCGTAGGCGGATTCAATAAAACGATCGGATTCCTCTCCGTATAAAATATGTAGAAATACAATTGTAACACGCCAAAATATGACGATTCGTAGCCATTTACGAGCATCCATGTTCGGCTTGGGTAAGTTCATGATGATTTTATAGATATTTGTATCCAACTTAAGATTTTAATACAGCTTTTGAAAGGCTTCAAAATTTGTATGAAAAATAAAGAAACAGATTTTTACTTAGTCTTATAAATAACTGCATATAAATGTACGAGCTCTTGGGCGTATTTTTGTAAACATTNTTCTGTACAAGAACAGTTGAGAGAATCTTGTGAAGTTCTTGAGAAGCCAGATAGGCTGGCAAAAACTCAAGGATTCAAATAAATTATTAAAAATTTGAGAAAATCTAAGAACATGAAGAATTAGCATCAGATTACAAAAACCCCAAATCTATCGTTTATCTTTGGCAGAAATGTGACTATTTCTTTTCTAAATGAATGATAATAGCTTTAAGCGATGCTATTCAACTTTTTGCTGATGAATAAAAACTTAGAAGTTCTCTCTATCATCAGGAAAAAACTCAGTTCATTTGGTCAGAATACAGTGGAGATATACAATTTTCTTTTTGGTAGGTGACTTTTGGGACACCCTGTATATTTGATCTTGTACAAATGTATTGAATACAACCTTAGATAATTAATTTAAAAAAAGGTAATTATGTAACATGAAAAGCATACAAATTATCAAAACTATGTTTAAACAAATGAATGCACTAATCAGTAGACAAAGAAATAGAATCAGTTCAGTTTTCTTTCGAAAATATATCAAACAAACCTATCTTTCTTTCTAAGTGTAGTTCGAGGTATGACTAAAGAATTGCAACTTTTATATTGTTAATGATTAATTCTTATTTAGTAGACATATTTCTATTTTCTTGTATATAAACAATCACTTTTTTTCTTCGAAGATACCTGAATATCTTAGGTAAAAGGCGAGAACTTTATACGATTTTGATTCTGTTCGGTTTGAAAAAAGTATAACTTAATTGTATCTGGGATATATTTTGATTGCATTTCTCTTGATGATCACAAATATTTGTTTGATATTACTTTAGAAAGAAGAAAAATGTAAATATTGTTTATTTTGTTGAAATATCAATTTTTTTAAATGTCGAAGTTGTATGTCACATTAATACTTGAATCTTATATTATTATGTTTTGCATGATTTTTAGAGATAAAAGATCTATTAAGTTACGTTCTAGTGATAGGTTTGGTAAAGTTTAAAAATTTTGTGCTTCTTTAACGAAAACTAGATCTTTAAAAACTTAGACATTTTCAATTTTTTTTTTGAATGAAATGTTATATTGTAGAAATACGTAAAAGTATAGATTTAATAATAAAAATCCTATTTTTCAGCGTTTTTAATAAACATTATCGAAATATGAATGTGATGGTCACTTTGTTTTGAAATAAAGATCTTTAAGTCTAAATAAAAAAATTGATTTTTGAATAAAAACTTGCTTAAACAACTGTAAAAATTGTGTGATAGTATGAAGAAGTTTATATTAAAATAGAGAAAATGATCCAATAAATTAGCTGGAATCATTTTGAAAAAAGTTGACATCATTTCTCATCTCTTCGCTCACAAAATTTCTCTATTAGATTTTTGAGAAATTTTTCCATATTTGAAAAAATACTAAAATTACGAAGTAATCGGTACTTTTTTTTAGTAAGCGATATTTAGTGTTATGACCATGTCGATCCTAAAGGAATTATGAAGTCTCAACATCTGATGTACCGATAATGAATTGAAGTGAAATAAAATGACAATAATAAACAGTATATAAAATAACTGAAAGACAAAAAAAAGGACAAGAAGCAGGAGAAAACAAATTGAAAGAAGAACAAAACAGAAAGTCTGCAAAGAAATATAGTTTCCTCTATGCACGGTCATCAATACTCACTCCACGTTCTTTTGTTCTGCTTTCTTTTATTTTGTTTTTTTTTATGCGTTCCTCTTTTATCTTTCATCCACGTTTCCTCTGATTCTTTTCGCCTGTCTCTTCCCTGTGGTATTCTTCTCTTCTTTTCTTTTTGTCATTGTGACCTATGAATATCTATCACCAGAGTTTTCTATCTAAAACTTTGCGGAAACATTTGCAAAACATACTAATTCATCTTTATTGAGCGCTACTACCGAATCTGAATTTCCATGTGTTGTCATTCATCTTAACGTTTGTCCTAGGACATCTATGTGTAGTACGCATCTTTTCGATATGTGTAGACAGTGGAACCGTCGAAATTCCTCTTACCAGTCTGACTTGTGTGTGTTTAATTCGGATTGTTACGACGACAGAAATCCATCATTGGACTTCGACATTGTCTGTGCATATTTTTCCCAATAGGTATAGCAAAGATCATTCAGCGACTTTTCCTTATAAATAGATGAGAACATGAAGTTATCCCAGTATTGACAGCGATATACACTTTTTAATAGTGTATAGTATAGATGATTAAGGTCTATACGTTGGACTTCAGTAAATAAGATGAAAGTCCCAAATAACGATGTGAAGTCTGATAGAACGAAAGTGGAAAAACGAGCTCGTCGTAGCTATGTAGAAGATGTACCATTGATTCTGAAAGAATTCACCAATGTGGTTCACTGTTGGACTTTCAGACGTGTCTTGCTGATAATATTTCCCTATCCTAGCTTCGTCGTTAGCCAATAATCCAAATATTTGAATGACGGGATCCACTCAATCAAATAATCTTCACAACTAATCTGTACCATCGAATTTGGATAAAGAATGGTAGGTGCCGAGAACACTACTTGTGTTTTAGAGTAGTTAATTTGTTGTATTGCTAGTAACGAGTAGAATTCAAGTTGCTCAAAGAATGTCTGTAACATACGTCCTGTATCAACACATTCCTCTGTAAATCGAGTTTCAATTTGTCCTACTAAATGGTACAGGTGCCAGATAGCCTACAAAGAAAAAAGACATTGTCCCGAGTATAAAGTCCGCCATATCGGTATGATATGTGATGAATAACGTAGGTGTTAAATTGGAACCTCGAGAACCATCTCATTTGATTGTAATCTATCTTGACCTTTTACCTCGATAGCTTCTTGACGATCACTTAGCTACACTCGAATCCAGTTAATATAGGCTTGTGGGATTTCCGTTGTAGTAAACTTTTTCAGACATTCATCAAACCACAACTGATAAAATGCCGATTTAAAGTCTACAAAAACCGTCGCCACAGGAGAGCTATTCGACATGTACGATGAGATTTGTTTGATAAGTAATAGCACTCATGGCTGGAGTCTATGCTCAGTATGAAAGCCCGACTGATTGTCTGGAAGAAAATCTCTGTCTTTCAAGACTTGTGGAAAACGATTGAGAAACAGTCTTTCTTGTACTTTCAGGAACGAGTTGAGTAACGAGATAGGTCTTGTCTGATCAGAAGCATATAAGGCATTTTTCTTTGCCAGTAATACAATTCTTACTTCTTTTCATTTCTTTAAAATATAATGTTGGAAGAGGAATAATTATACAGTTGAACTAAGAGGTGCCAGTAGTTTCTAGGAATATTATCCAACATATGGGGTGACAGCCCATGAATATCTAGAGATTGTTTTTTGTTTCTCGTACGTAGGTCACTTAACACTTTGGGATAGGTCACAAACGGTATCAATTTCGACACATTATCCCACTGAACTGATGGAGCATCAACATATGGATGTGAACGTGCGGCTAGTGGTGGTTTGAACAATTTTTCATAATAGTCCCCCGCCATATTCGCCATCGCCTACGGATCCTTTATTATTTCTCCATTTGGTATCAAGAAACCTCTTAGTGATGAGGTAACAATCCGAAAATGTCTTTTAGTTTTACACCAAAATAACGTAGAACTGTCGCTCGGTGTGTGCCTTCCTTTCATTCTTTGGATAAGCTGAGCCTGTTGAAAACCCTTTAATTCAAAACGACCTTCATGAGTTTCGGTGCCACAGTAGGCCGAGTCCTCTTAAGGGTGTGGATGTGGGTGAGTGTGGCTGTGACTGTGAATTCAGGGCTTCTCACAACCCACACTCTCGACTACGCAGATATTTGGCAATGAGTATGAGACTCTAGTAACTGGAATGTCGTTTTGTATTAGAACGAGCATACCATCATGTGTGTTTTCGCCAGCTTGATATAAGTAACGGTAGTTAACGAATGTCGCACCACCAAGAGAGAAGTCAACGTGTCCAATCCCATTCAGAACTATACTATCGAAACAATGTTTTTTCATTGGCAGACAAACATCGCCCCATCTTGAATTGAGACCACGAACGTTAAAATAGAGCATATGCAGGTTAGAACATGGTTGATGTGTATGTAATTGTTGTCGGAGTTTCCATTTCGACAGCAGATCATTAAACAAAGAAGCAACTTACCAATAGATCAGTAATTCTGAAAGTAGAGTAAAGCCCTTCGACGAAAGGGTATTTCGAGCATTATCAAGAAAACGGGTTGCTTTAATATTATGGCTATCCTTATTATCGACTGATTTGGTCATTGTGTGGATTTCGACCGAAACGATCTGAATTCCACTACTCATCCGCACGTACACCCATACCCACATTCAACTTGTTATTTGGTTACAGCAGCACTTGTCAAGTGTCGGAGTATTAGTTGAAATAACTATTTTCCTCGACAATATCATTTTGAAATTTTCTTGTCTTGAAAAACGCTCCACTTGACAATATTGACAGAACATGAATCGACTTCATTTGTCTTTATTTGATATAGGCTGTGGGATGTGGGTGTGTATGTTCTTTTGAATGCATACGCACATTCCACATTCATACCCATTTGACGGCGAGATAGAAACTGAAGAATAATTTTGTTATTTCTATTGGAACCATTTGAAATCGAGTTTGTTCTCATTTTATTCATACTGAATTTTCAATTATTCAGTCAAAACTTTTACAACTGCTCCGAAAAGCAGCTACTCTTAGCGACATTATTTCATTTGTCAAAGCATGCCATTTTCATAATTTTCTCGTGCAGAAAGTGACCGAGAAAATAATGAACAACTCAGTGTCATTGAGGACAAATACGAGAGATGTCAATTTTGATGAGTGATGTTCTCTGTCAATTGCACTAAGAAATCGATTGAAACAATTAGGAACCATTATGGGGAGTCTCTTCGATTATGACGAGACCAAACGTGTGAAACCATTCTTTCTAGCCGAAAAACATACCAGCGTCTATTTTTTTTTGGAATTAAGCTTCATTGTAGTTGACCATCTATCCCTGATATGTACCCTACAAATGTTTTTGACTGTTTATATGATGACAAAAACAATGTTTGAAAAAAAAAGTTCATTTAAGACGTTCAGCAATAAAAAAACAAGTTTTCCAATGCCACTTTCATCATCGACTCGTTTGTTGTAAAAATGATTAAAATGCTTGCCAACGCAGCAAAGTATTGCGTCTATACGCACGGAATTATGTGAACAAGTATACGTATGTATGCATCAGATGCTGACAAATTGTGTGTATACATGCACTATTGTTAAAATTATAGCAAGAACGAAAAGAGCAAGTAATCAATTCATCAATTCCTGAACTGCATCGAGCGATTACGAGTGTTCCATATACATGCGACTCGTACTAATCTGAATATGGTCATTGATAACTGCTAAAATAAGGATTCTATGGACAAAGCAAAAAACAGTAATAGAACGGAACAGAAAATTATTTTGTTTAAAATAAGCCTTTTAAATAGATGCGTAGTATTGTATGAAAATTGTCTTTGTCTTGATCGGAGCTTGAATCTATCGATAACCTTTGCCGAAACAATCGTCACATCTTTTCGTAGCTGATCGACGACCATAACCACTGCATGAACATCCTGAGCTATAGTGAGACCATGTTTTGTCACGATGCTGACAGAGATGACAGGTATCTTCGGCATCAATTGTTCCAAAACCTCTGCATGTGTAACACCGTGTTTGTTGATGTCGATGACTCTGTCGATCCCCTCCATAATCATTGAGATAGTTGTTATTGTGATGGTTCGATTCATTACCCATTTCGTTTGAAAAATTTGATACTGAATGCTAAAAGACAAAAAAGAATGAACATTGATGAGAAAACAAAAGTCAATCTATTTTTCTTCTCTATTCAATGTCCTTATAAGTCTTTGGGTCCGGGTATCAACAAAATGATAAATGAACAGATGCTTTTGATATAGTGCATCATTCTTTTCACTAGTCATAACCATAACAAAACAGAAATGAAACATTAAAGAACTTTTTGAAACATCTGATGTCTGGATAAGAAGTGAGAAGAACACAAATAGATGCGAATCTGATTGACTTTTGTTAAGACTAAGAGATGACTATATACTTCACGAGATTAAATTCTGGATTTTTAGTGAATGAGATATTAATATTTTGATTGTCTATGCCAATATTGATTTGAGTAATTAGAAACAGAATCCTTCAGGGTGAGACTTTTTCGTATCTTATATTGTACCCTATGTAAATTCTCTAAATGTTGGTATGAATAAGTTTGATTTATTCGTACCACACTTGAAACGATATCGAGAAGAAAAAAAGAACAGTAGGGAAGGAAAAGCAAGTAATAAACTAGCAAAAAACCTAGTAAAAGGAACGCGATCATTTATATGAATGTACAAGCTAAGAGAAACTAAGCGTATGATATATACTAATATTTATATTACGTGATGTAGTCGCATAGAGAGTAGCGAGAAATACGAACCAATGTTAACAACATTTTGTTAGGTGATATCTCGATTTGATGACAACGTCACAAAAAAAAAAGAATTGTAATAGACATGTATTAGATCAGTTGGTCTCATTCAGTTATATGTTTCATTGTGTCAAATGATGAATTTCACACAAAGGACGACGCTATATTACAGTGACTTTTTGACAACAGTTTAACAGATTTTACTTCAGAATAATGTAAACATGAGATATTGATAAAACTAACTGCGTAATTTTAGTTGATCAGAAAAAAAGTAATATCGTAGATAATCTGTATCAGTGATGCATTTCATATGTTGTTAATATTCGCTTTTCAAAATAAATTTCATCCAAAGCGCAGTAATCGATTAACGGTTTGACATTTATTGGATGATTCATGCCTATATGTTATCAATTTACTCTTAGGAAAATTCCAACATAGAACACACGATAGTATGATGTATTCTATGATCATATACGCATATAGGGTATGCATGAATCATTGAATGAATGTCAAAATACCATTGGTATCCGCTAATGGACTGTTAGATGACAGTCATTTTCAATGAAACCCAGTTTTCCTTTAAAAACCTTTCGTCGTAGACTTTTGTCTATTGCAACATCAAATCCTTCTTACATTAAAAAAAACTAGAGTATTAATATGGCGACATCTAAGGTTTTTTTTTGTATCGTCTGTGGAGGTGAAGTCATAATGTATGGTGTACAACAGCGGGCGATCACAGGGACAATAAGATGAAAAAAGAAAAGATAATATTATAATCAACTATCACCTTACATCAATCTTAGAGAAATGTTTAGTAAAACAAGCAAATGTGAAATTTGCAAAAATATCGACAACTTCATTGGAAAACATCAAATCTATGATATTACAAGCAAGTGATACTGATATCATTATTTTTCCGGAGCAGCACATATTTCAAAAAAGAAATTTTTACTAACTTTTTCTAGTAGAAACTATTTGAACTACTGAAGATATGTTGTTTTTAGACTGCTACTCATAAGAAAACACTACTCCATGTTTTGGCATTTCAACAAAACCGATCATCATTTGTTACTTCTGCTCTACCATCAATTACTAGTGCGTTTTATTATGATTGTCAATGAGTTGCTCTTCAAATTGAAATATGGCATCAAAGATATTAATCCAACATGATGATACAATCTATTACGAGATTAGAAGGTTATGTGAACCCTTACAGAATTAAATTCAGTTGAGATGGTTATCGAAGAGTCAGCTTTCATAAGATCCTCATTTAAATGTATGTCGAAAATTTTTAGACAACTATTATTTTTTGCTCATGTGGAAAGAAAAGATATTAAATTAGACGTCAATCACAGCACAAACAGCTGTGAGTTCGATCAAACTGATCTTGTGTAAGTAGAAAATGAAGAATTATTGCAATATATCCAATAGCGGAAACAGCTGATTTAAATCAGCCCGCACTCACCCAAACTCATAAATCGCTGTTTTCCTCTTGTATTAAATGGGAAAATTCCATTTTACAACAATATCATAGCCAAAGATGAAATTGAAGAATGGTTAAGCAATATTATACGTACATATAAAAACAACCATTCATCAATGTATTTGATGTAGTATAGAAAAAATGACATATGATGATGTTGATTGTTAAATACAGTTATTGAACAAGAAAAAGTTCAATATGGTCTTTTTGTTGTCCAAACTCTTTTGACAAAATGAAGTGAATTAACTATAACAAGATGCAGGAAAAAATAATAAAAAATGAATGAATCAAACAACTTTTATGAAATTCATTTTTTTATGGAAATGAAATCTGTTCTTTCTTTCTAAAATTGATCAAACAAAATCTCAAAGATTAAAATATGAAACATTGATTATTATTCATATTCATCAATATGATATTTTTTGAGAATTTTATACAACAGGAGTACGATCCGATTCAGATTGAGCAAAACAACCAGGGTTTTATGTGCGAGTTTATTTCTTGTGAAAATTATTGACATGTACGTGTAGATGAATGAACGCTTATTACTCATTCACATCCACATTATGATCAAATTGAAAAAGAACTATTTGATAAACCTTTCAATATTAAAAGAAAATTTATTGTTATGTCAAGCATGAAATTGTACTGTACTCTTAGAAAATCTCTACAGCGACTAAATGAAGGTATGAGCCGGGTACTAGACATCTATGTTTTCACGTTCTCTTAAAAACAATAAAAATGTAAATGATAAAGTATCCGTAACATGGTAAGCTCATAGAAAACATTTAACATCAAAATTCGTCGAGATTGGTGCTATAATTACTGTGCTTGTCCTTCATGTAGAGTATAGATTATTTTAGCCTTTGTATAATTCGAAATTCCAAAAAAACAATAAATAAAATTGCCTCTCATTATATATCGAGTTGGATTCTGATGTATAATTTTATCAGGTGAAAAACAAAGCTTAATTCTAGATATATTTATCAAATATTTTTTTGCCAAATAAATGAAAACTCAACACGAACATCTATGCATTGTAAAACTAAATGTCGAGATACAGGAATATATATATTTATGTCATAATAAATATAGATCTTATAATTTAAGAAAATGATATTCGATAGATTTCAAGATATTAGCAAAATGTTATTAAATAGAAGCTTATCTTAACGCAAAAATCATTTTCACAAGGAAATACCATAATAACTGATGTTGTTGAAGTTCGTCGCTGTTCAATTGAACTTGATACATCGATGTGATATGCGTACATTCGAAAAGTATTATAACCTGTTAAGGTACATAGTTGAATGATCGATCCAGTTATGTTCATAAATGTACAAAACCTCGAATATCACATTGATTTGTGTATCTAATTTTTTTGAGTCAATCACTTGTTTTTCAATAATGATAACTTTCTCTTGTCGTCGATCAAGGATTTCAAGCTTTTTTAATTGTTGCATTTTGCGTAAAATACATGGGTCTACCGCTCTGGCCACATCATTGAGAAATTGATCAGCTGCCGGTGTATGTGCTTGTAATTTGAGTATTAGTAGAAATTTGGCTAGATATACAATCGGGAATATATTGATCCTCAATCCATAATGCAGTAATGTATGACATGGCATCAATACCTGGTATCTGAAAACGGAATCTCCAGGCGTGAGGAATCAACATTGGTTGATCAGATGCAGCAAAGACTGACTTGAAACCAACACCTTTTTCACCAATATATTTTTGGTCGATTGTCTTCGTGATACCAGTCAAACTACAAAAAAGCTAAAACATCCCGTGCTCGAAGATCTTGTTCGTTGTTGGATAAAAGTATGTAATTATGATTAAGTTCAAGGCGTAAACATGAGACCAAAGCACCATCATAAATATTATCTTCAAAACTCTATTAAAAGGAAATAGATTGATGCAAAAAAGAAAGGATTACTACGTACTAACATGAATCAGTTCATGAAGAAAATGCACTGATGAACTGTAAAGTTCAGACCCAAGATGTTTGAGTGATTCACAAAGAGACTTTCGCATATCATGATCGTTGAATGTTGTTCGTCGATGGTATATTTCTCGAATACATTGTTCGTCTTGTTTGGCGGTAATCTTATGGGGAGATAGATTTTGTAATTGACTGATAATATCTTCTTGATCGTTGGTTTTTTTCTTAGCAGAGACCTGAGTTAAAACTTCTAATGAGATAGCGAGGGCTGTTGGTGTTTCTAATTTGAGACGATCCTTGTACTGATCTAGTTATCTATTTTCTTTTCTAAATCAATCTGATTCGAGTTGAGTATGTTGCAATTCACTGATTGATGTTCTCGTTTGAGCTGATCATAATCATGTTTTAATTCTGAAATGTCGATTTTCTTCCATTCTATATTGAGTAAACTTTGAAGTTGTTCTTGTTGTGTTAATTTTTCATCTGATGGAATTGATGTTTGAAATTGTTGATATAAATTGTAATATGATGAAATTAAATCTTCAGTAAGAAGTAAAGATACGTGTGGATGAGTAACCGGTTTAGATGTAATTACACTGAAAGTTTCACTTTCTTCTTCATCGTCGGTGTCATCACTCGGGTCAAACTGTTTGTATTTTGACTGCACGAATTTCGTATAGAAAGCAATGCATTCATCTATTTTCTCGGCTTTATCAGCATCATTTTCCAGTAACATTAGAATAGCTCTTGAAATCGTCCCTAGTCAAGGATCTTTATTGAGCAGAGCAGAACTAATGGGAAAACGACTGTATAAAAGAATTGGCGTCAGAAGAGCACATAAGTCATTGACAAGCACCACACTCAAGCAGGATCTACTTTCACTCCAAAACCAACGAGTCATGGGAAAATCAGTCAATATATCAATCGCTTCCACAATTTGTTGCATATCATATTCTGTCACTTGCTGACCATGATCTTCTGAACCATAGAATAAGGAGGCAATACATTGCATATAAGATCGTTGAAGTAAAATGATGACGTGTCGAAAACACTGTCTTTTAGCAATATGTATTGACGAGTCTTCCTTATTCGACCTAATCATAGAATATTTATGCTGAGCCAGTAGGAGCAATCAAACTCACTTGGAATCTGATTTCTGTTCTGATTCATGATTGCAGACAGCTTTTTGTGCTGTATAAGATGATAGAAGCTAGGGGTGGTAAGTTAGCATTAGCATTAGCATTAATTAATACTAATTCTACAAACGCCACGCCCAGAGAAAGCAAGATGGAGCAAAAGTGTTGGAACAAAAAAGATGCGCAAGGCGTACCTGCGTAGGATAGCTATGCTCGTTTTATAAAATATACCTTTC